GAGATGCAAATATAACCTTACCTATTTGTATCTTTTGCTCAAAACTTCTTAGGAAACTGTTAGATCTCTCTCCTTGTTTTTCCTTTGATTTGATTTGTTCTTTAGGGCTTCAGATGTGACTTCATTTTACTGTTACCAATATTTTTATGTTAGCACCTAACAACCCCGTTCAATATTTAGAAACCCAGTGCAGTAGTCATCTGTGGCAGCAAAAAAAAAAAAAAAAAAAAAGGGTTCCCACAATGAAGTGATAATATAGTAACACAATAAAACAGGGGTGCGATCCAAACAGCTCAGTGACACTCAGCCAGGTACAAGCTTTCCGGTCCCCTCTGAGAAGATGTATAGAGTAGGAACTACCTGCTTTTAATACATGTGGCTCCAGGAAACGTGTGATACAACAGCAAAGACTAGCTAAGGAAATGTCTTTCAGGCTGACATCTGGCTGAGGACACAGTGCCTAAATGTCAGTATCTTTCATGTATGCTTCACAGTAGAGCAAAAAATCAAATTCTCCTCTTTTTTTTTTTTTTTTGGTCGTACACTAATGAAACTCAATCTCTGCAGGGCTTTGGGGAAAAGGGGTCATCCATTAAAGAAAAACCCTGTTGACTACAATATTAAAATATCACCAGAATCTCCTAGCGGGCTTTAGCTAACTGACCCATGGGAGGTTCAGTGCCAAAGTGCCTTTAACTATCCCAAACTTTTATTTGTACAGAGCTGTCACTGACCACCCCAGACATTTAGAGATGCTGTAAAGAGAAGGAATAGGATTAACGTCCTATTAGGACAGAGCTTCAAGGGGAAAAAAATATCCTTGCGCAAAATTAATCCAGCCTTAGCTAGTCAAGAATGCCACTTTTTTAAACTAATGGATTTAAAGATTATGAGAGGATTTGAACCCATCTGTCCCATTTGGCCTGGTTTCATTTTATAAAGCTTTCTTAGTCAAACTTCACTAAAAATCTTGTCAACAATTGACTATTTTTAGAAAAACTCATTTTATTTGGTGGCTTTGGTTTACTGATTCCTAAAGAGAAAGATTTACAAAAAGAGGTATTAGAATGTCAGGTCCATTGAAGCTGCACGTTATTAATATTGTATGCTACGTTATAAAGGCCAAATTAACATAAAAGCTGTACCAAAAGCCCAAGCCATTTTAGTGGAGTTCTTCTGTTTTAATCTGGCAAACAGATACAGTTGCTACTGAATCCTACACAAAGAAAGGACACTCGCAACCGACAGAATGATGGAGTTGAGGGAAGGAACCAGAATAATCAGTTTAAACCCATTTCAAAAACTTTTCTTCTCTCTAGTGCCCCAGTAACTACAGCACTTAAGTACAACGTTCACCAATTTTCCCTAAAGAATTCACTGAGGAAAGAAAAGGTGAGGGCAAAACGCGTTCCTGAGAAGATGACAGATATTCAATTGAGCTTTAGAGATGGCCAAAGGAAAGACGCAAAAATAGGGACTTAGCTCTGACTGCAAGGACAAGGGCCCTTAAGCTTCCCTTATCCAGTGCCTGAAAACGCATTCATCATCAAACGCTCCCTCTGCACGGCTGCAGACCTGCAACCGAGCCCTGCCCTACGTGGGGCTCACCTTGGGCAGGTGTATCTAAGCAGAAGGACAACGGCAAGGAGCCGAGTGCCAAGCACCAACACCAGCAGCCCTAAACCTCCTCCAGCTGATGCATCAAGAAAAACTTGCTTAGGTGAGCGGGATTACTGGTGGGTTTGAGCTCTGTGAGCCCTCAGAAGAAGGCCTTTTGGGGAGGAACGTGTTTGGAAATGCTGAATGCGGGGAAGTTGAGGGGTGCTGCAAAGCTCAGGGCAGAGCCTCAACTGTATTGTCCTGGACGGAAAAGGTCTCCTCCCTCCAGTAAAGCAAGCTGTTAGGTTAAGGCTATGCAAAGCATGAGGAAATGCCCTTAGCAGATTTGCATGTAAACACAGAGATATTTCCACCTTGGCATAAGTGCTAAACTATTACACACAGACCCTTGTTTCAATCAGCTACCGAAGTGAAGCTCTGTTTTGTCACATACCTTAAATGTTTAACATTTTGTTTCCCTGGCTGACTCTTAACAGAACTCCAACGGCTTATGATTACACTAATTAAACACTTGACAGTGGTCCATGGGATGGATTTTGTTTACATCTCACAGAGTCTCCTGCTAGACAAAACTGTGTTTTCCCCATAAATGATAATCACTTATTTTCACCATTTCTGTTTCTTAAAGATTGCTTTCTTCAGTCTGTATATACCAAGAACAGCTTCATCTTCTTATTAAATTCACTTTGATATGGAAAAAACACTAACAAAAAAACCGTCACCAACGCAGCAGCTCTCACATTGAACAGCTCAAGAGCTTGGAACCACGAATATCTGCTGTAATTACGTCTAACTGCACCTATTCTGTGCTCTACTCACAATCAGATCTTGCTTCAGGACCAGGTAGCACCATTTCTCCCCTTGCAGTAAACAAGTAACATGATTAGAATGATAAGCTGGTCCCATCTCAGTGTTTTAATCCCCAGAGGTCTCTCTACCTGATTAGGAAGCTAAAATTCTGACTTTTTATTTACAGTGAGTTGCTCTCTCCCTCTATTTTGAATGTGTGTATGTGCTGAGCTTTTTCTAAACTAGTCATTTATGCAGCATCTCATTTCTGCATGATTGTTTCTTTGCATGATATAAACCCCCAAATGTGTGTTTCAAGCAGTTTTGATCTTATTTTCTCTGTCCAAACATTCAGTTTTCAATAAAGAAAAATGTTTTCTTTTTTTTTCCTGACAGGAGTTGATTATTTCCTCCAGTATCTTTTTTTCCTTCCTAACAAATTTCTATCCATCAAAATGACTGCAGAGAGGAAGTGACCAAGTAAGCATGGCAAAAAAAGAACTACATGATTCATTGGCTGGTAAATTCGGTGTTAAAAACGACAAACAGATTTCGAGGGGAAAAAAAGAAAAAGATAATTCCAAAGCTTATTTTTTATGCATCATTTAAAACAGGACATGATTTAAAAAAAAAAAAAAAAAAGAAATCCTGCGCCCTTATTTTAATTGCTTTGTCCTTCAGGAATTCCTATGACTCAGTTCTTTACGTACATGACATGTATAGTCCACAAATGGCACTGTAAGTTGCTTGAGAGCTTCTGAGATCAAAGGAGTTTAAGAGAATCAGGCTTATTTATTGGGTGACTGGGTGAATATCGTTGATAGAGTAATAGAGCATTTTAATTACTTCACATTACTAAAGCACGTAGTCCTTTAAAGTATCCAGAATAAACAGTCAACAAATGTCATTGTAAGTTGCTTGAGAGCTTCTGAGATCAAAGTACTTTAAGAGAATCATATTGGCAGCGAACAGGAGTCTGAACAATGTTGATAAACTAGTTCAAGTGAAGTATTTCAGGCGACTACAGCGTAAGTATAAAGTAACAGGACAAAATAACAGAAACTTCTCAGCACTCAGACTAATGAAGAGAAACTCAGATGATGGCAATATTAGCAGACTGACATCTAACAAAGTTCAACAAACTACTGATCCACTGGGATTGGTATCTGGCAAATACGACCTAAATGGGATGAAATACCCACATATGAGTTCCAGGCTTGTGTCAAGAGGTGAAAGAAAAACCTCAAGCTGAGCTCAGAATGGTTTCCAAAGGGTGCCATGGTACCCAATACAGTCAAGAGAATAACAAAATAAAGTACCTTCACAGTTTACCAAAAAAAAAAAAAAAACACACCACACACACATACATACACGCACACAAACGTCAAGTGGAGACACTTGACACTAAGAGACACTAAGTTTAAATTCTCTTTTCACACTACAAAGCATATTGGGGCTGGCTAGTGGGACCACGAACAAAAGGCGACAGTGCGCTCCACGTCCCATCGAAAGTAGGGAGAACAAACAGAAAGTGGAGAAACCAAAAGCAGTTTCTTCTGGTTAGAGCAAATGAAAGGTGCCATGAGATGCATCCCTGGAGAAAACAGAGTGAGCCAGGCATGCATCAGCCTAATGTGGAAAACGCGCGGCTCACCGTACATACCTCCTTACACCTTGCCAAATCCCTCGTCCAGCTACCATGAAAAACATTTCACTGTTGAAATAGTAAACTGGTGTTTTTCTTTGATTCTTCCTTTACAAAGTTGTGTAGCTAATTTCAGTTCATCTAAACACTGAGAAACTTGGTAAGATTCAGGGGATTAGGCAGATACATAGCCATATACTGATGGCTATTTTGGAAGATCAGCCAAAAGCATCATCAATAGCTGATTTTTCACCTACAACTAAAGCAGACCATCAGAAAACTGGAAGGCATTTCTAACTACATTAAAACAAAACGCTAGTAAAATCCCTATTACCTATAACTAGGAAAATGACCCAAATATTTAGACCACCAAGACACAAATACCACAACTGAAGACCCCTGCCATCTCCTGTCTGTGAAGACCTGTGTCAGAGGCCTCCAACACTCTACCAGTTATCTTATTTTGGCTAGCTACCTGCATCATGAAACATTAAAGATCAGACTCTGTGACTACCAGGTACACGCTTAACTATGCAAAAATTAGTAGTGAATGAGAAAAGAGCAACGTACAGGGCATGCGCTTGAAAAAATGTTTTAACAGGCTTCACAATCCACCCAAACTATATTTTGTAACCTGGCCGCAAAACTTGCAGCGACAATAAAAAAGCATGGCCAGATCAACCAGCAACAGAACATTAGAAAGGACAAAGTGCTGTTACTTTTCAGCTATTTAGTATTCCATAACTTTTCAGCTATTTAGTATTCAATAACTGAACTGGAAAATTTTCTATCTCAACTTGATTTTTAGGAAAAAGAAAAGTTTTACTAAACTTTGAAAGACACAGTTCAATTTGTGAACTCAAGCACTAGTATTTTGAAGACAGACTGAAAATGACTCCTTTTTTTTCCCTAGTAAAACATAACTGAGAAAGAAATACCAATATACCTGCTTCATCATAGGACACAGTCAATTTTTCCAGCATTTCTCGATCAATTGATAAAATCTGCTGTTCCAGAATGGTTTGGTAAGACAGCACACTGTTCTCTTTGTCTTTCTCATAGTCTTGCAGATGTTGTTTCAGGACTTCAGGCAGGCGGGACTTCACATATTCTGCTGCTGACTATACGGAAAAGAGGCAAAGGTTTAATGAGTATATTTTCTTCTGAAAAGCTTCATGCCTACCCATACCCCTTTTTAACTTAAAGCTTTTTCAAACGTAACCCAGCACAATAAAAACCTAGAATTGAGTTATAACGCCATTCTTTCAATCACACCTGTCATTTCCACTAGTGCTTCAGTGACAGATATCCAGTGCCAAAACGAACCCCTGACTCCAGACTTACTTCTAGGGAATAAGGGATGTAAGTGACCAAATTCCTCTTTGCTGAAGGAATATTCCTACCCTTCAAAAGGAAGTTGATGGTGTAACTTTTGGTTTTGGTAATCCCGAAACAGTTACTATGCTCGACTTGACGCACACCGTTAAGAGCTAAACTTCGTATTGTAAATGTGTTTTGAAAATATAAACACAGATATAACAAATATTATGTCTTTATTCTAAATTTTAAAGCTACAAGTAACAGAAAGGAATCACTTCACCTGCTATTGATACATAACCAAGTTTGGACAGGAAGATAGTAGTAAATAATTTTTTTTTTTTTTTTTTTTTTAGGACTGCTCAAGGCTATAAAGCCACAGAAATTAACACCAGGTGGCATGGTTGTATCAAGTTGCAGAGCCTTGTGCAAAAATTTAAATGGCAGTTAATAATGAGAGCGGTTGCCTCCGCCTGGGTGTCCACATCCCCCAGATCAGGGCAGCTACTGAAGCGGCCACTTTGCTCCCAAGGGGGCTTGGGTGGGACACTGTGCTAAGCTTCACAGGACAAGCTTGCTCTCATTCACTCTTCCGGGAGAAACACAAATCAGCTTTCCACTTTTTAAGCACTAGCGTCTCTTATGAATATTAACCTCCCACTGGACTAGAAAGTCCCTCTTTCTGGCCTAATTTTTTGTTCTTCCTTTGCATCTCTGATATAAACTTAACTGAGGAAGAAAGACGTAGCACAGGCTGCTGCCCCGTGCTCCAGCTTTCTGCCACTTTCAAGACAGAAGGGAAAATAAATGAGAAAAAAATTACACTATTGCAGGCCTGGAACTGACCAGAAGTTACCCCTACTCAGCAACATGCTCTCCTCAGGAGGTTTATATTTAGATTTTCAAAGTCAACTGCCGATTAAATTACCATCTTAAAATATCACTGAAGTTGTGTTCAATTTATCTGCAAGCTAAGCCATGCAAGACCAATAAAACTATTCCGCAAAAAGTAAATTAACTCTCCACATGAGAACAACATATTTAATACTACATCTTAGTAGTATTTTCTTCCTGGAAGGGAAGGCCAAAAGATACACTGTATACTAATTATTTTAGTGCCCTATAAAAATATCAGGGTCAGGCAATTGTAATTAATGTTTCCTTTGAGAAGAGGTTGTACTCCGCACGGGGAAAATTTTGTGCTGTCCCTACTGCAGCAATGCCAGAAAGCTGAAAACAAGAGTTTATATATATTCACTTTCCGAAAAATGATTTGTGCCATCTCAGTGAATACTTGCATACTACTCTGGCTGTAAACACGTACGAAAATATACTGCTCCCGTCCCAAAGATCTTGCAATTTAAGTAAAAGTCAAGAGACAGATGGATACAAGCAGATGGGAAAACAATTGGGAACAACAAAACAATACTGGTCAGCAGGACAGACCATTGTTGTGAGCCAGGTGAAGCCCAATTGCCCAGTTCTTCATTGGCATCAAGGCCACAAAGCATCCACAAAGGAGAAACTGGGGCCAGAGAGCCCTTTCTGGGAGATATTTGCACCCTCTTGAAACATCCCAGCGAACGTTGCTGCAATCCGACTGATACGCTACATTTGAATTCATTCCTCCTATCACTTCTGACACACAACCCTAATGGATACGTATTTCCAAACCCACGTTTAAGAAACTATTTTCATGCTGAAGCATTATTCTTAGCAGGGCAGAACAGAGACTGCTCCTAAGTCAGGAACTGCGGTTTGCTCGCCCAGTCCTTAGCGTTGATGGATGTCAAGCACGTGACTTGTAAACTAATCTAAATACAGAGTCAACAATTTTTTCAATAGATTTTGAAATGGCTATTTCAAGTGTAACCTCACAGGTTTTGTTTCTCGGTGAGAAACAAAACACAACACCACACACTAAGGTAGCTTAGTTTGCTACCTTCTACATTACTTCTAGACGTCATTAAAAATATAAACCCTAAAGTAACCAGGAAACCAGTATGAATTACTCTCCTTTTCTAGTACGGAAGGTGGATGAGCCACGTTTGAATAATTACATCCCCAGTTGCACTGCAGTAATGAGATACATAGTACTATGTTCTGCTCAGTACAAAAGTATTTTTTTCTTGTTTTTAAAAAGTCGTGTTCAGTCTTTGGAATACTTTAAAAAATGCATGTGTTTGTGTACGCACTTGGTATAAACAACATTGACGGTCTGGATTAAGAAAAAAAAAAAGGAAAGGAAAAAGAGAAAAAGGACTTCCATATACCTGCCACGTGCACCTCATTTATGGTTTCTGTTATTGCCTGCAGTCTTATAGAGGCTCGTTTGCTGGGACGCAACGCAGCAATGGCTGGTCTTGGGGCTGCCTGACGGACCTGGTCAGCCAGCCCCCAGGCAAGTCCCCGGAGCATTGCTGGGCTGAGTCCTCCCCACTCCTTCCCATGCACGCAGACCCCACAGTACAATCATTACATCCACTGTCAGTAATATTTGTGTTTGTGTCACTGAGAGAAGTCAGGGAAAAATCCACTTCACTACTCTGAACCTGCAAAACAGCTTCATCCTCTCTTTCTCCGTAGAGTCATCCTTACTCCTGCAGGAAGGAATTACAAACCTAGCTACTCCTGGAAACATCAGACCTCGGTCATTAGCTGCGGGTACCACTAACTGCGCAACATCTGCTGATCAGCTTTCCCCACCACTATCTACACCACGAAGCAACCGGGAGCCGCAGGGTACTGCAGCAGTGAGGAAATATGGAGAAATGCTGCTGCTGCTTGTACCAACACCTCTGCACTCCACATGCACAATGGCTTAGGTGGCCAGCGGCTCCCTTCACATCTAAGAAAAAACAAATGAAACAAGAAAGGTACCTAAGTAGAGCCTTAGGGCTTGTCTGGAAGCAGAGATGGCACCCCCTTGATCCTTGGTCCTGTTGGCATTTATGACAGTTAGCTTGGAAGATTCACGTTTTGGGGGCGTTCCTACCAGGCCACCCAGGCACAGGTTTGAATTCCAACCAGTTCCAGCTCTAAGGCCTTGCAGCGTGTTTTGGGGGAATCCTCACACAGATCACCGCATCAAAACAGCAGCAGAACCAAATGCAGAGAACTCACTTATTTCCTGGCTTAGCCACAATAAACCCTCATCTCCTGGCAGGGATGTATCCAGTTATTTTATAAATGGGCGAACGCAGCATTCCCTACAAATTTTTTTCCATTCTGACACAATCAGCCCAAACGAAGTAAAAGATTGACACCAATACCTTAAATGACTTTAAGGAATTTCGTTTTACCACAGAAAACTTACATTTTACATATGTAAAACATAATTTAAAATATCAACATAAAACAAAACGTACTTGCAGAGCTTCTTCACGTTAATTTTTCTCTATTCACTAAAAAAAAAATACATAAAAATCACATGAGGAAACACTGAAATCCCTCACTGTGTAACAACCTGAATCTCAAATCTCAAGGCAGTATCCTTCTGTAACTACCTATTTTTCCACTTTTGTTTTTTTCAGATTGATGAGGCATGTATTTTCAAAGTGAGAATTTTTATAAACCATGCTAGCCGTCTGCTGCAACTTGCTCTGCTTTTCTGCCATATGTCCTTCTGGGAACTCCTCTCCATGTGGGGAAGTAAAGGTCCGCAATGGTTAATTAAAGGTTTCTTTACGAAGCTACTTCAAAAGTCAAGCGGCAGCTCGATCAAAGAGTTCTCCTTACGCAGTTGTACTGGGTAGTTTCAAAAAAGGCTTTCAACACGCAGTAAGGAACTGAAGAAAATGGCAGCAGAACATATATATTATGTTCTCTTGTACTGCACGTTTCAAATATCATATATAGCTATCACACACTTCTGCTGGCCTTTTTTCCTGTTCCATCCCATTGTAATTAAATTGCTTCTGTGAGTAAGCGTAAGCAATAGCTTGTATTGCAAATGACACACCGGTGAATCCTGCTATCCCCCCAAACTCAACAAAACCATTATAAAACAACAAAAAAAGCCAGCCAGAAGAGACCCAAAGGCAGAAGATGAGTAGAATATTTTGTTTGGGAAAGATAACCTCCGCCGTAAAAGAAAGTTGCAGGCTTGTTCATTTTAATCACATTTGGCAGACTGCTACAGCTCAACACGTTTTAGCGCCTGGAATTACCAATCTGCTCGACCTTTAAAATTCAGGTTTTCACCAAATTCAGCAAATTCAGTGACCTCACATACTTCTGACACTCCAAACCCTTTGACCCACTTCTTCAACAGCCCATGGGGCAATCAAGCAAACTGCATTAAACCGTGTATCGGCAAGTACATACCGATCTGTGGAAAACCTTCTCAAACTGGCGATAACCTGGGAGTTGCTTGCTGTCCTCCAGCCATCCCTGGCAGCAGCCGGCAGTGAAAGCTGGACAGCGCAGCCGGGAAGAGGAGCCAAGTGGCAGAGCGCCGGTGCCAGCTCCCAAATTAGAGTGCTTTCCACAGGCGAACACCTGGAAAAGCATGATGGTCCCAACAGCAAAACCACACCAATGCTGGCAGAGAAGGTGCACTTCCATGGGTGCATGTGGAAGAAGTGAATTACTCAATGTGTTTATTAAGAGGGTAAACGTTAACCAGCTCCACAACCCTGTGAAAAATGAGCTGCTGCAAACAGCTATAGAAAGATAAGCACACGCCACATATAAAGCAACTGAAGACTCTAATCAGCTGGAACGGCCATCATTTCTAAACACAGCTTTCCAATATAAGAAACTGGAAGATGAAGACCTTCTTGTCTCAGACCCCGACTCCTCA